ACCCGAAGAAGTCTTCTAGAGCGGTTGAGTCCACACCATAAAAAAAAGCAATGGAGGGGATCGTCCGCACCATGAGCCCCTTCGTTGGATCGCTCCTTCGTCGCTCGGTCTTCATCTAACATGGACTCTATAAATGAAGGTGACCCCAAAATTTCTATAACACCGGGCGGGGCGGAGTCGGTGTCTTGAGAGGTCTCGGCCCTCACCCCTACACCAGCCTCATGAACCTGAGGGGGATTAGCCTCTGTTATTTCCCCCTCGGCTACCACCCACTCCTCGAGGATGGCTCGCAAGACACAAAAAGGTCGTCCTCCTCGAGCTTGTCCTTGAGTCGGTAAAGCGAGTCCGAGTCAGGCACTCAGGAGCTGGAGCTTTCCTTTGGATTACGAGCCAACCTTCTCCTTATCTTCTTTTCTCTAAGCTCGGGGAGCTCGGAGCCCTCCTTCTTTTTTTCTCTCCTATTGCGGCCCAGGGCTGCCCCGAAGCAGAAGGATCAAGGGTAGGTCTTCGGCCCCTACTAAGTCCTAAGCTCAAATGTCTTAAGCAAGCCTGTAAAAAGAGAAGAGACGGAATGAGAACATAGTTCTAAAAAAGAAAGCATAGTGCTACCTATTCGGGAAAAAAATTCTTACCGTGGGAACGGGCCTCCCAGCAGCCCTTTGAAAGCTCGTGCCACGAGCGCTCGGCATAAGGTATCTGCGAACAAATATCCTCGATCCACTCCTTGAGCCAAGGAATAGCATTTGGGACTCGAGCGACTGCTGCATCACAGCAAATACCGATAAGGAAAAGGGAGGTAAAAACATAAAATCGACATCTGAAAGAATAGGACACTTACGTGCTACATTCCAGTTCTCAGGGAATGCCTAAATTCGGCAGGTATTAGGTCAGCAGTCCTCACCCGAACAAAGCGTCCCTGCTAACCTGGATCTTGTTCCTCATCAATGCTTGAGAATGGGGCTTTGCTAGCCCGGCGTACGAGCTTTATCAGCCCCCCTGTACATGCGGAGCAGTTGATCGATGGTGAACAAACAAGAGTTGACTTTGTTCACAAAGAATCTAAGGAGGATTACGATCCTCCATAGTGACGGATGGATCTGACCAAGGCACACGTCGTACCTCCTGCAGAAGTCCAGAATGATCGGGTCCACCGGGACCATTATGAAGGAGTAAGTGTAAACACTCAAATACCCCTACACATGGGTAGTAATATCATCATCGGGGCCGGGGATCACTACGTCCTTGCCCGCCCAGCCGTAGTCCTTTTAAACCACAGGAAGAATGGTCTCAGTGATGGAGCAAATGTACCTTGACACTGCCTCGCATCGGCCTTGCACCGAATAGGGCTTTTCGATCGTAAAGTCATCCGCGATCGAACGGCCCCTGGGGACGAACATTTTCAAGGGAGGCTCGGCTACTGGTTCATCGATTGCCACGTCAGGAGCGGATCTCTCGAGGACAACCACATCAGGGGCGGTCTCCTCTACCTCGGTGGTCGGCTGTGAAGAAGAAGAAGCACCTTTTTGGGGAACAGTCTTGGAAGTCTTTGCCATTGTTGTCTGGAAAAAGGTTTGAAAGTGTGAAGGAAGATTAGGAGATGGAGGGTAGTAACTTGATAATAAAATCAAGCACGCTGCCTTGAGTAGAGGATAAAGAAAAAATTGCAATTTGTTGAAAAAACTTGAAGAACAACGGTAAGAATGTTGGAGTATGAAGAAAGGCAATGACATCTTGAAGGATCGAAGGTAGAAGCTTGGTCAAAAGTAAAAAATGAACAAAGGATGGAGTATTTATAAAGGCTTTGTGACCGTTTCGCATCTAGGAACGGCCTGCCGATGGCTGACACGCATTTGGGATCATGATGGTGCAAGTGACGGGACATTTTGTTTTTTTGTCGTTTCTGTCATGGCATGTTGAAGAAGGAATTGAAGAGCTCATGTCACTCCACGTTGTTTCCGTAAACTTATTCTTCGAGAAACGAGGGGACTATCTGTATACGAGTGAAATTGGGCCAATGGGACACCCCAATTTCCAATAAGGTAAATCGAACAAGAGACCTGATGATAAAGAATCAGAATCAAGGCAAGGTTCTCATCGAGCCGGGGTCCGGGGGCACAACGCCCACCCTTGGGAATATCGGAGCCATGACCCGGGATCGGTCCTAATCCCAAAAGACTTTAGATAGCGTTGTCAGGCAACCGAGCACGATTAATAGAAGGCCGTGATAAGGCAACCGAGCACGATTAATAGAAGGCCGTGATATCCGTGACCAGCCAGGTATCACGGCGTGGATCTCGGCACGTACCGGCGGAAATCTGATACTTAGTTAAACAGGGAATTTTTACCTTTTATGGAATTGCACCTAGGGTAGAACTCCTTTATTATATAAAGGGGGTCTGATTATTCATTAGACACATTGTAACACGCATATCAAGGTAATATACTACTTTTTTCTCTGTTATTCAAAGTTTTTATTCATGTTCATTAGTGTTTGGTCATTGTGAGTCCGCAATCGAGGGCGGATATTTCATTAAGGCTGTTGTTAAGTTCAGAATCATCCTCCTCAAGTGGTTTGATAATTTGTTACCTCTTTTATCTGTTTAATCTAATACAATTTATCGTTTGTATCGAATTAATTCATGTATCCTTAAAACTATAAATAAATTTAATTGTTATCCGGTTTTAGGGTAAATAATAATTATTATTATTATTACTATTATTATTATTAATATCATTATTATTATTATTATTATTATTATTATTATTATTATTATTATTATTATTATCATCATCATTCTTAGTGTATTTATTGATTATATTAGTTAAAATGTAGAAAAATAAATAAAACTTAATAAGGGTGGAATCATAATAATTTAACAGTAGAAGAACAATATCATATTAATAACATGTTTGGCTAAGCTGCAAAAATCAGTTTATTTCGATAAGTATTTTTTCTCAAAGTACTTTTGGTGAGAAGCAATTTGTGTTTGGCTAATTAATTTGAAAAGTACTTCTGGGCAGCAATTAGTATTTGGCCAAGCTTTTAAAAATTGCTTCTAAGTGTATTTTTCTTAAAAGTGCTTTACAAAAAAATGATTTTGGAGAGAGACTACTTTTTTCTATTTCTCCAAAATTGCTTCTGCTTCTACTTAAAAATATTTCTTTTTCTTCTAAAAACTTGGCCAAACATTTCAACTTTGAAAAAAGAAAGTATTTTTTAAAAACAAAATTTTTTTGGCTTTGTAAAAGTTTGGCCAAAGGCTATAAGACTTCATACTAAATTCTTAGGAAACTAGACCTTTCACATTTGACTTGAGTGTCCAGTGTAAATGAAAGTAGAACTTAATAGTAAATTTTCCTTAAAATACCTTATGGAAAAGGCTATCTCTCACACTTATAATAAAGGATACTATATTACTGCTACATACACTTTTAGAGAATTTAAATTATTATAAAATCAGTTCTTTTTTTTTTTTTACAGGGGATGATCAACTACAGAACTACACGGTCGGATTGAATTTGACATCTTCAATAGAGAATATGTCCATAAAATTATTACTTGTGTTCTTTTTCTAATGGTAAATGGCTAGATTCTATTTTATGCAACAAATACCGTGAAATACTTAAGCAACTCACACTTCTTTTGTTTAAATTTGTATGAAACTCTTTCTATTTTGGGATGTTTCAAAATGTTTAACACAATTATATTTCTATAACAACTTTTGAATATTTACATCCATTAAGTTATTCTTACTTCAATTTTAATATGAAGTTTGCTCTTCTACCAATCAGTTGTATTCTGACATTTTCTTTTATCATCAATAATATACGTATATAAGTTAAATTAACATACTAAATTTCGTGTAAAAGTTAAATATCTTTAGGTAAAGTGAAATGAAAAGAGGAATCTCTTTCAAAATGCAACTAAAGCAAATTAAATGGACAGTACGTAGCGATCGAGTATAGCAGTGTGAACCCAATTTAGACATGCAGCCAAAGCTTTCACATGGTGCTAATGACTGTGGGCTCAAAGATATTTACTTGATTTTGACATCAGTAGTTAGAATAATAATCATGCATATTTCCACAAGACGTGATTCCCTTTCTCAAAAGAAACTTCTACCTATTGTGTGGAGAGTGGGCCATTTTTCTCTCTCAGAATCCATGTATTCCAATTTTATAATGAATAACGTAGATTTAATTTGTTAGTTCATGCTACATGTTTAATATATTTAATAAATTCAAAGACGTAAGAGATGAAACTCAATACAATTTACTATATACTATGGAATCCGTCAAGAGTAATGCGGAAAGCCAACCAAAATTCTCAAATCGTACTTGCTGATTTATTATGCGGGCATGTTCAGTGGTGTAAATAAAATTTGCATAAGCAGTATCGGTCTATTGTTATAGTTTGTGATGGCCTGACTTTAAAGTTTTATTTTATGTCTCAAATTGCATATATTGCATATGCTCAATTATGGACGGATTTAATTCAGATTATAGTGTACGTCAACCTATGATCTCTTCCGCAAATTAAGTATTTTATATATGTATTTTTTAGAATTGATCTAATATCATTTGTTGACCATATTGCCCTAAAAATATTGAATAATACACTTATTTGAATACTAAGTTGTTTACCTAAAGAAATAGGAATCAAATCTCGCTTAATACTATTTTTTTCCTCACTTTTTGTAGCGTGGTATACCGATCTAAAAATTCTAGATCTGTCCTATGTTAACTTAACCATAGTTGAGAAGAGATGGATACATGGTTAACGTAGAATTTGATGCTGTCGATCAATATGTCTGGTAGCTCATAAAAGTGCGAAACAAAATGACACAAGACCCCTTCCCAGATGTTCCCAGGGTGACCTGCATAATTATTACTGTGACACATGCTCCCAACACTGTTTTGGTTTTTGGAGCATGCATCCTCTCTTATATATATATATATATATACACTTTATAAAGTTGAAAAGTCTTCAATTCCAAAAGCATACTATCTTTATACTTTCTCCCTTTTCCAGTTTCTTTTAGTACTACTAGTTCTTTTTCCCTTGTTCTTTACTCAATTTTTGATACCATTCCAATTAGTAGCTTTTACTTAATCTATATTTTCTTCTCATAAAAGCCCGGCCTCTTTATGATCCCATTCTAGTACTTAGTTTTATTTGCTATATTTGCATATGGGGGCTGGATTTTCTAGCTTAGAGGATCGTGAGAAATTAGCAAGTGATGGTTCCTCAAAGCCTGGCCTTGAAGATTTGCCAGAGAGCTGCATAGCTTTGGTCCTTACGCACCTCGACCCCATTGAGATCTGTAAATTTGCTAGCTTGAATACAACATTTCGTCAAGCTTCCTTGACTGATTATGTATGGGAAACAAAGTTGCCTGAAAATTTTCAATTTCTTGTGGAAAACCTCTGGGACGAAGATTCATGTTCCGACAGCTTAACCAAGAAAGAGATATTTGCCAGGTTATGTCGTCCGAATCACTTTGGCAGCAGCAACAAGGTATGTACCTACGACTCTGTCTTTGGTCTCTCAGCTCTCTTCTCGAGTAATGTTTATTGCTAAAAGAAGTTTGACTTTCAAATCCGAATTCCGCCATATAAATTAGAACGTAGAGAGTAAAAGAAATTTCGTGAGTTTTGATTGAAAACCCCGTACTTTTTGCGAAATAGAATTTACAATAAAATGTGTAGTGCTAGTTATTTTATTCAAATTTCTTGCTTTCTTCTTGTTTCGTCTACCTTGGTTTAACGTTAATTGTAGTGCAGTTTCTGCTCTGATTATAATAATGATTGCAGGCGTTTTGGCTGGAAAAGAATAGAGGGGTATGTGTGTGTATATCGTGGAAGGATATGAAGATAACAGGCATAGAAGACCGGAGATATTGGAGCCATATCTCTTCTGATGAATCAAGGTTTTTCCATTAATTCTCTGCCTTTCAGTTAAATCAGCACTTCTCAATTTTAACATATATGGTAGCATTACGATTTTACCAAGAGTTGAAACAGTATCTCTACCCTCGTAAAGTAGGGTTAGGTTTGCTCGTACACTCTACACTCCTTAAATTCCACTTGTGGGATTGCACTAGATTTATTGTTGTTGTTGTTGTATGGTAGCATAGTAAATGAAGAAATTAGAGATGGCTTTGATTATGGAGTATGAGATGCTGCTGCTGATATTCGTCAGGCCAGAAGCACTATGAAAAAGCCGAACATGTAAAAAACGTCAGTAATTGTTGTAGAGCACAAACGAAAATAATCGTTATGGTGGGTCTCGGGTTACCCTAAAGTTCGAACCTTTGGAATAAAGTTATATCTGTTTTACCTTTAAAGTGTAATTTTCATCACAAGTTTGAATTAATCGGGCCCTTTGATATCAAGATTTGAGTTAATAGGAGTTGAGTTACTCAAAAGAAAAAGAAATAAATTAAATTAGAGGTGGAGATGATGCATCTCAAGCTGTCAAAGAAGAGATCCTTCCAAGGATACCATTCTATCTTTTTTAACTTTTCATGAATACTTTGTTTGACTAGCGCTTAATTATTTTAACACTTTATACTATTGGTTTCTTTGATATTGGAGAAAACGTGGGGAAAAAAAGTTTACTACTACTAATAAAACGTACTGTGGCCAGCAAAGCACAGGATCAAGCTCGAATAATTGAAGGGACGAAATTTGACATCTGAATCAACATGAATTGAAAGAGGGAACCTCAAAGATCAGACAAAGAAAAAGGAACTGTTTTCCCAGTCATGAGTTTAATTTTGATAAAATACACGTATATATTTATACTATCATTTTACCAAAAAGATAACTGCAACGGTCTACAAGTAACTGTTTATAAAAAGAGGTTACTGCTTCATCGTGTTAAATATATTATTAATAGTGCAAAAGAATTTTACACTTCAATGCATATAAGTTGTACCTTTTTCATATTAGGTCTAGCGTGCATATTTTCACGGCAAATTCTATATATATGGTTTCCATTTTTCAGCCTAGCATTAGCTGTCATCCCATGTAAAGATGCTCTTATATAAGAAGTCAAATACATGTGTTTGAGAAAAATGAAAACCAGTTCTCTACATATATATCCTTTTGATAAGCTTTCAAGATTATAATCGTCTCTTTCCAATTTGTTCTTATTTTATGTAACATATAGCGTTTTCCGACCAACCCTGACTATACTAATATATTATCAAATCCACAGATTCGGTACAGTTGCATTTCTTAAACAAATATGGTGGGTAGAAGTGGAAGGAAACCTCGAATTCGAATTCCCAGTAGGGAATTACAGCCTATTCTTTCGTCTGCAGCTGGGAAAAAATTCGAGAAAAATACTAGGCCGACGAATCTGCAATGTTGAACAAGTCCATGGCTGGAATATCAAACCGGTGCAGTTTCAATTATCATCATCAAATGGTCAACATGCCACTGCACAGTATTTTTTGAATGAGCCAGGAAAATGGATACAATATCATGTGGGAGATTTTGTGGTGGAAAATTCTACCATGCCAACAAAGTTAAACTTCTCAATGGCTCAAATTGATTGCACCCACACGAAAGGTGGTCTTTCCTTAGACTCTGTGCTCATTCTCCCTGCTGAGATTGGATCAAGAAAAGTAGGTTAATGTAAATTGTAGGTACAGAAGTAACGTACCGAAGGTGCGGTGTAGCGATTATTAAAGTGTGAAAATCATGGCGGAAATGGGGTTTGAAATCTCAACAGAGACGAAAAAAATGGGGTTTGAAATTTCAGTAGAGATGAAAAAAGGGTAGGTGATTTCTTCCTATTTAATTTGTTGCCATGATTTAATCGGTAGCTATTAAAAAGTTGTCTCATTCAGTACATAGTATGTTGCTCCCGAAACTACCGTTATTTAATTTTAGAAAAAATGTAATCATGTGAGTAGGTCTTGTTTATAAATTCTAGTCAACTATCACATGTTGCAGATGAAAATAAGTTTTTTTTGCTTCGTTCTTACTTAATTAGCTTAGCTACTATATTGAATTCGTAATCCATTAATGTATTGTGTCATACTCTAAATTGTATCAACACGTTAATTATATCTTTTACTCCTGTGGACGCAAAATATCAAATATGATTTCTTGTATTACCATAACAATCACTTGTTACAATTACTTATTTGCAAGTCAAATTTTACGAGCCTATCAAGACAATGCTTTTGACTCATTGCATGAATTTACATTTATATCTGAAGTCATAACAATTGACAGGAGATTCTAAAAAAGGAGTACGAAAAAAAAAAGAAATTAGAACGAAAATACGAACCCAATCCTTTTCGTCAAGGTGATAATGATGAAAATAAAACGATAAATGAAAAGTATAAGAAAGAACGATGCTTAAAATATACTCCTAAGTTCTTCTCAAGAAGATTAAGAGAGTCCTGACAAACGTTAAGTCTTACCATTACAACTTTTAAAAGAAGAGGTGGTAATTATAAGAAAAAATTGGATTCTTTCTCCAGTTCCATATCAAGTACTACATGTTTGAGGTATTTACTTAACATTAACTTATTAATTTAATTTTATCAAAATTAAACGGGCAAAATGCATGATAACAACTGATCGGATGACATATTGGGTGATTGATATGAATGGCCTCGTAAGGGGCTAGACAAGAGGGGTTGCTCTGATGGTAAGCAACCTCCACTTTCAATCAAGAGGTTGTGAGTTCGAGTCTCCCCAAGAGCAAGGTGGGAAGTTCTTGGAGGGAAGGATGCCGGGTTTTTATTTGGAAACAGTCTCTCTACCTCAGGGTAGGGGTAAGGTCTGCGTACACACTACCCTCCCCAGACCCCCACTAAGTGGGATTATACTGGGTTGTTGTTGTTGGTGGTGGCCTCGTAAGGGGCTGGTCTTAGCTGAATGTCTTTAAAATAGATGGTATTTAAAAAGTGGCCCCCGAACCCATATTTAGTTATTGCTCTTTAGTATTTCTCTACCGGATTAGTAGAGTTTATGCTACATTACTCTACGTATCTGTTAAGTTAAACATCAAAGTCTATCAGGTTTGCATGATTTTGCTCTTCAGAGATTTCTCTACCAGATTGGTAGAGTTTATGCTATATATGGCGGGTAGAGGTACTTGTCTTTTACTTCACTTTTTTTGCTTTTGTTTATAGTTGTCCTTGATCTTTGTAATTGTTTAATTGTGTTCAAAACTCATAATTTTAATTGGATGGTCACAAGTTCGTGCACAAGGAACGTTCCTCATTTTCCTGTTAACTGCGAAAGAAAAAGAGGAAAAAGATTAAACAAAAATCTACCATCTAAAAGCTTGAATGACAATTTAAAATGGAAAGCATGCTAAAAGCGTGCATGGCAATTTGAATTGGCAAGCATGTATAAGATGAGTTAGGTGAACTCCGTTAGCCAGGAACGCAAAAATGATACACAAATCAGTAAAATGGCTACAACTATTTTGTTTGCAAAAGTCTAAAAAAGGGTGTAGTTATGCGAAATCAAATAGTTTATTAGCAGGTTTAGATATTTTTCCTATAGAGTAGAGTTGACAGCAAGATATATATTGAGAAATATCGACAACAAATTCGCGTTAAGAATAATGAGATGATTTTAAGATACTAAAAATTGAGTTCATTACTTATATGATTGCTTAATTATCTAAATTATAGATTAAAGTAATTTTTCTTTCGTTTGTAATAAAAAAATCACATAATTGTTTCTACTGTTTGTACACAAATGGTCACCTTACCAAAATTATCAAACTTTTCGGTGAAAAAATATAATGTGGCAGTTTACATGGATTTTTTTTATATTATTGGACCAAATAAAATAATTAACACTCAAACAAAACATCTTTTTGGATCAAATAAAAAACTAGCGAGTGACTTTTAAATTTTTAGCGGGTCGAATTAGATGTATGAGTGAATTCTCTATATTTTGTTTGAGTGTTAATTATTTTATTTGGTCCAAAAATATAAAGCGTTCAAGTGAACTGCCACATCATATTTTTATACCAAAATTTTTAATAATTCTGTATGGGTCAAAATCTGACCAATGGAATGTTGTTCAAAGGTAGATTGGTAAGAGCCGATTAGGCCGAGGTCGCACTAGAGATGGAAGGAACCTATTGGCGAGCTGAGTAACCGGGGTCAAGATCGAATACTCAGGTCGGCCATAACGGCTAGTTTTGTAGCAAGATATTTTAGGGAATATTTCATTGAATATTCTCTGCACTTGTACTTTATATTAGGTAAGGAACTTATCCCATATAAAGAGAAAGGTAGAGAGAGGAAGAGGGCATGTAATATTCTACTCCCTCCGTTTCAATTTATGTGAACTTATTTCCTTTTTAGTCCGTGCCAAAAAGAATGACCTCTTTCTCTATTTGGAAACAATTTACCTTTATGCAATGATTTATAGCCACACAAAATATATGTGCTTCATTTTACACCACAAGTTCAAAAGTCTTCTCTCTTTCCTTAAACTTCGTGCTCAGTCAAGTGGGTTCACATAAATTGAAACGGAGAGAGTATATGATAAGAACTATCATCAAAAGTTGACTCTCAAGTAAATTACAAACATTGCATTTCCATAAAGATCCGATTTGTTGTTTATATCACATTTTCTCGCATCAGATCCGAGAAAGCTCTCTATATTCCCACGGTCATTTGTCTTATATTATTGGCATATAGAAGAATCATGCACCTCATTCGATATCTGGGTGAATTATTCTTTCTATTTACATTTATTGTCATTTAATATAGTTATTGTTTATCTGTTATTTGCTTTTTCCATTTTTATATGTGCATTATTGTAATTATTTTGACTTTATATTCTAACTATTTTTTTAAAAAAAGAATACACTTGATGTTCTAACTGTTTTGCTTCTTCACTCTAAATAATTAATAATTTGCTCGATTTAACTATATTCTTCAATCTCTTTAGTTAGGAAGTTATATGTAAATAACTGAAATAACGGTATTTACCAAAAATTAAGCTATATATGTTCAGCTCTCCGTTGGCATTTTGATTTTTGATTAATGAAATATGCTTAATTTAAAGTATGCCTAATTTATGTGTTCCCCTTTATACAAATATGTTATCCTCAATTTCGATATCACAAGTTGTATTAATATGTTAAATAGGAAAGTCCGTGTTGGATTGTTGCAAGTATTGAAAATTTAGAAATTGAAAGAGGATGGTCGTATGTCAACTGCAAGAAGTGTAAAAAGAAGGTATTTATTGTTGGCCAAATCTAAAATGTAAAAATGAAGATTACTCAACGGCGAATAGGTAATAATAGAAACTCTATTTCCTTAATCCATCAAAACATACATTTATATCTCAAATCAAACATGTATTTAGGTACAAGCTTCAGGTTACGGTCATGAACGGTACTGGATCTGTTTCACTGTTGCTCTGGGACCGCGCAAGTTCGCAAATGAATTGAAGGAAGGATTACTTGAGGTATTTTTTCTAAATTAAGTTCATATTTGTTTTAAAAAAATTCTAATGCAAAATTTCTTCTAAAGTACTGGCATTGTTGACGAATCTCTCTATCCAGTAGAGTTGAACAAATATCCTTGAAAGAAATTTTATGTTTAAGGTCATCGTCAAGAGCTCGAACATTCAGATGCAAGATGAAGTTTATAGTGTTTTTAAGATTATAGATGAGGAGCAACTGATGAAGAAATATACTCATGCTCCACGTTTAGATGCCTTCACCGTATGTGATCGTTACTCACAAACATCATAATTTATTTAAGTTGCACATTTCCGTTAAATTGCATATTTTAAGTCTTTTTTTAAACTAAATTATTTTTTTATATTTTTTAGGACCCTAACTTCAATAGTATTCAAGGCGTAGATGAAGAGAAAGAATGCAAGGTAAATACATCGCTAATTTTTTATTTCTCCTTTACGATGGCACTCATTTTACTTATATATGTGAATAGATATATTTGAGAATAAAATTTTAGATCTGGTCAAACGCAGATTTTTTGAAGAATGCACTAAAGAACTTGATTATTAGAATTAAAGGTTTATATTCAACAGTAAGTAGGTATATATGATGTATTAAAATAATTTGATAAACTACGTTAATATTTGTATCACAAGATTGGTTTTGTGTGTAAATTATGAAATGCTAAAATTTAGTTAATACACGATAAAATACTTTACTCACTTGCATGGAACTTTTTGATAAACTGTAAATTAGTTTTGCAATTGATCTATTTTTTCTCATCATAGTAGAAAAAGGAAGTCTTTATTTGAGCTTAATTTGTTATGCTAAAATGTAAGTTTGAAGGCAAGCTGATTGTACATGCATGGATACGATCAATTTTTTTAACATATTAAGCGTTTTGAATGTTCGCTTTGTTTATTCTATAAGAAGCTACGAGCAATAATAACATGATTCCTTCATTGAAGATGTATGACGAGAGGACTAGATCAGCCAATAAGGCATCATCAGTATCTGAGTTGTTAACTACTCGGATGTATGTATGCATTACTTTAAGGCTAATTCATAGGAAGTCAAAAATATAAAATTCCACCAAGCCTCGAAGAACTTTTTTCCTTCATTGTTTCTCAGTCATAGTTTATCCTGTCACACCTCCTTTTTCGCCCGCGCCGCCCAAAAGGGGCGCGGAAGGGAGTTTCTTCCAATTAAAGGACAATCGAAATGGGATTTATTTATTTATTTCAGAGTCGCCACTTGGAAGATTTATGGTGTCCCAAGTCACCGGTTGAATCCCGAATCGAGGAAAATATTGACTATGTTTAACAGTCTGCGCACCAGAAATCCGGATAGGGAATTCTGTTAACCTGGGAGAAGGTGTTAGGCATTCCCGAGTTCCGTGGTTCTAGTACGGTCGCTCAACTGTTATATTCGGCTTGGTTATCTGATATAATACATATTGAACATATGTGCGAATTTTGACTTTTAACCGCTTTTATCATTATTATTATTTTTATCGAGAATTGCAACA